TCGTTAAACAGATGTGGTGACAAATTACTGTAACAGACTGATTCATGTGGATCACACATGATTATGCTATTAGCGTCAGCTTTGTTTGCAAAAATATCATTTTTATCTTCTTGGCTCTGGCTGAATGACATGTAATATCCGCAGTCTGCAGCATAAATAAATACCGCAAAATACTTTGGAATAGGTCAGCTGAATCAAATCATCATGATAGCTGACTTGCGCCCCAGAAAGATACGCCTTGGGGAGACCAAAGCACACAATGGTCAGATAAAATTTCATAAATATTTATCAGCCATTGTGCGTGGTGGCATCATTTAACGTTGTGATTTTGCTTACATTGATGACTAGATCCTGACTACCTCAAAAATATTAGCGTATAGAGCTTGCATCACTTGTATTATCGCCACTGCCAAACTTTTTAGCGTTACCGCAACCAGTTTCCTCACTTACTAGTCCGTTTGTGTGCGTAAAAGGGGTCTACAGACGACAAAACCTTGGCGGTTGATCACTAATATCTCATCTGCTTAATCAGTGGAGCTAACTAATCTATAAACAGTATTGTAAATGTAAATTCGATTGAACAAAAAAATCCAACGCGGATTTTGGGTTTTTTACCAATTGCATGCATAGCAATAGGGGACAATAAGGAGTTGAATCTTGTCCGTGGCTAAGGTTATAGTTATCTTGTTATTTAACTAATCTATCCGCGCCCCAGAGCATCGCCTCCAGGTACTCCTTAACTCTACATGCTCCTCCGGATGGAATTGATACTTCAACTCAATAACACATAATTGCTTCACATTTTCGATGACTAAATTAAAATTTAATTGCTACTTATGAGTTTCCTTTTCCTCTAATTACCGCCCCAATTACCAACGAGTCTATCATACTTGTATGTAATTTTAGCTATTTTGTTTTCATCCCAATGATACCAAGGATACCACTGAAGCAAGCTTAGTCGGTCTGTATCGCTAAAACCAAGTTTGTTTGCTACGGTCTCTTTTTGTTCACCGTGTTACGGATTGCTTTTTGATGAAGATAAGAAAGAAGAGAAACGAAAATCAACCCATGCCATTCAATCAACTTTGTCAGTATGGGAACAGAAAATACAAAAATCTCTTTTAACTGAAGTTAATCTGTCATACTGGCCTCAAGACGTTCGGAGATATACCTTCTGAAACTTACAAGCGTTGTTATTTTATATACATATAACATTTCATGAGCTTTTCCCCTTATGTCTTATGTAGCAGCTGCCTAGATAATGTCATCCAATCCATACTCTCTTCGACAGAAGCAGCAGAGTCGAGGGTAAGATGAGTGATACTTCATTGGTTAGAACGGCTAACTGCATTTCAAACGATCCTCTGAGACATTCGAGGGGGGATATTCTTTACCCTAAAACATGCTGATCTTCCAAATGACAGCGTCTTGAGGACACGACTGTAATCACATTACAGTGGTTCAACTATGGATATCTGACTGGCAAATGATCCCACTAGGCATGTTTGTTAGTTGTTATTAGTCACGTGGTTTGATGCTGACTCAGCTACCTGAATGCCAAGCCCTGTGTCATGTGCATCAAGTAAATCATTGAAAAAAAAGATGACAATTTAATAACAAGATACTGACTGGGTATCTATCTGTATATTTTAAATTTGGCAAACAGGCACTAATGCAAGAAAGCTTTACCTGTGCTACAGTGAATGTTAATTTAAGGAAAGATAAAAAACAGTGCTCGACGATTCCAACAGCCTTGTCGCTCACGATGGTCGACGGTGGGCACATTGGACTATTGGAAACTATCACCCACTAGAATGTGATAGGTGTGTTTTCCATCTCCCACCTGGGTCCTTTTACTAACAATTGTTTTTGCACCAAATACAGCAACGTATAGATTTAATCTGAGATCTGTTGATCACAAACCGTTAAAGATTTTATTTATAGTCTATACCAGAAGACATTTAATGTTTTCATGTTTATAAAGCCCTATTTCTTCACGGAACACTTCTGTGTAGGCCGTACCGTTGAGGTTACTAATTAAGAGGACATCATGAAGATCGAAGCTGAAAACAAGGTGCATTCTTTGCAATGAATCTGACTCAAAACGATGTTGGGTCAAAGCGCATGAAGATCTCATCATCTGGGTTATTACGTACGGGCCTTACTATTGTCTTCATTAATCCGACCACCGAGTCTTTAGCATTCTTTCTAAAGTACATTAATCTTCTTATGGTTGTTCAACTGACTAAATGGCACGACAGAGCTCACTCGCAAAATCTTTGGAGAAGAAATGCTGGCCTAGGCGACGCAAACCAAATATTATTCAGTGAAACCATCAGATAGAGTAAGGCTGCGCAAGGTTTACCAAGATTATATGACTTCAACATGACAGCGGATTTTCAGTCGCAGATCGTGTGAGTAAGAATATAATGTAGCGCTAACTGTTAAGTATATCAACTCCTTTTCTCCCACAATGCCACTCAAATGAATAACTGAAAAAACCGAAGAGCGCTCTTACATTTACCTTCTGTTGGGCAATTTAATTCTTGAATTCGGAAGGAAATACCGTTTTCGTCTGATCCAGAAACAGTGAACGACAACAGCAGAGGGGTGCTGTGCTCACGGCAGTCAAACACCTCCTATCAAGTACATGATTCAACATGGCAGCATACCTTTGCTACGTCAATGCATTCAGTAAATGGACAAGGTAACACAATATACAAGGCTATTGCGCGGTAAACGCTGATAAACTTTAAAAGCCAAATGTTCCGCTATATGATTGCGGGAAGATATTTCGACCGGGTCTGTGCCGCATTTGCACCTTATTGTCCGCTTACCTGACACTTATCTGTGTAATAAATGTATGAGCTGCAAGGGCCAGCACGGCATTTGGCGCTCGAATGATCGAAAAGCTGCCCAAAACCGATTAACCTCGGAGAGCAAACGTTGGCAAGGTTTCTCTGGGAATACAACAAAGCTCAATTTGGTAGGGTCGATCACATGGGTCGCCAGTGTTCTCACCGATCCACTCGATAAAAATGACATTCCAGAACCAAAATAAGTTCTTCATAAATTTTGATCACTGCCCACCCATCATAATCAACCTAAGGATGACAGCATTATTAACCACATGGGATATTTGATCACCACCAGGTCACCAGTTACACCAGTTACACCGCCCAATCATATATTTAGACGCCAACAACTTGTTCACAGTTCAACTATCGTTTAGGTGCATGATGTTTGAGGTTTTTCACTATCCATACGTATCCCGTTGGTCATGGTTAAACTTTACACTGCCTCGAAAATCAGGCTTCCATTCGGCAATCCAAAAATGTAACGAATGGTTCAACAACAAGAAAATACATGTGCGCAACCTGAGTTAAAATTATTGAAAAAAATAATGTTTTGTTATCTTAAAAGTGGATAGGTTGAACATTTAGGGTCAGGGTGAGTTTTGTAATCAGTTGCAGTGAAAATTTACTTCAATAAGCCTCAAATCTAAGATCCAAACAGAGATGAAAGAGGTTTATTCCGTCAGCTTTTCAACTTTTATAAAGTATGCAAAGAACAAGTAATGCTTGCAACTAGATACTTTGAGAAATTCAGAGAAATATACGAAAATGGACGTTGAAACTTCCGAGAATCACGTTTGCCCAGAGTAAGTCACTCAAGGCCAGCACCTAAATCTGGAAGCACGTGGCGCTCTACCTCTCAGGAAATAGATAACGCGTCTACTCCGGGCCGGTTGTTAAACGATATGCTTATTTATTTATTTTTATTGAAAAGCACCAGTTCCGCACATTGCACGCGCATACTATCGGTGGGAAGTTTCTCGGCCGGATTCATGGATAGCATGATCCAAGTTGGCTATGTACTTTGCCTTGCTAGATGAAAGTGTTACCACTTGAAGCGCGGCAAAGTTCTTCAGATTCCCAGATATTTACACTTGTTTCTTCGCACAGGCAACCTTGCCTGTCCAAGCCAGTTGAGAACGGATAAGATTGTTTGCTTGGCAAATAAACCGTTAAAGAGACGAAAATTGCGCGAAAAATTGATTTTATTTGTGATGCACGTTTTCAGATGCCATCATTTCCTTGAAGCCATTCTATGCAGATAAGCCGGGAATCATTGTAGGGCTGCTTCATTCTCATTGCGGATTGTCAGTAGTGCGTATTCCATAAAAGTAAATGGAGTATCATACACGCTACCTCCTGACCAGTAGTTTGAACATTTGACCGTTTGGCCACCAGCGGCTCATCAGCACTGTGATTAGCTGACATCAAGACAAGATAAACCATCACGTGTCCTCCAACCACGGAGTCAGTATCATGTGGCCACGTGGTGCCATTTTCGAGGGTTACGAATTCTCAGGTGGTAGTTTAATTATTCCCCCTTCTGAGGGTGGTTCTCAGTAAGGATGCAACAGCTGAACAATGCTTCTTGGTTTTTTAGACTAGACTGGCCTCACTCACACGATAAAATCTCAATTGAAAATCCAAAAATCTTCCTTTACTACCAGCAATCCTTTACTGTTACACCATTACACTGCGCACCACGTTGACTGTAATTCCGAGACATTTTCTAACCTTTTGTGGCAAGTTTACAAAAAACCTTTCTCGATTCGTGTTCAAAGTAATAATGTACTTTGGAGTGCATTATAATCTCACTTCGTTCCACACATGATACGACCATAAGATGGCTCTTGGTCCGTTGTTGGCTGGATCACACACTGAAAAAATAAGTGATCTTCAATGTGGGTCCCCTCCAGAGACTGTTTGTGACAGTGAAAGGTCCTTTTTATTCACCTAAGACGATGTTTGCACAGTTTCAGCTCAGGCGTCGTCTTCTAAGCTGTCACGGGTAATTCAGGAAGTTCATGCCAGTAAATTTTCATGACAGGCAAATGCAAGTTATTTAAATTCCATGTATTCGGATAGTATGGCAGTCAGTCCGATTGGACGATATTACGTTTTGAACATTCGCTTAATGTAACTTACCGACAGTAATTTCTTATCACTTCCATCATTGGTTGTTTCAGCTTGTGGGCATAGGTACCGGGTTCCGCGTTGAGCACCATCTCATTGTCACTCAAATGATCAACATCTTCATATTCAGGGAACGGGCGTACTTCTGAAACCTTTGCGCTGACCTTCAATCCGGATGTTCGTCGCTACAAGCATTGTGGTGAATATGGTACTCTATAGAGTCAGTATGAAAGGTGTATTATTATGGAACATACCCGTGGGTCAGCAAGTCCTATTTAGATTGGCATAAAGTAAATGAAATCGCACGGAAGTAAATTCATCCGAATAGGATTTGAAGTCCAAAACAATTGATCCCTTAAATAGATTCGATTTTAGTACCACCACGTCTTATAAATGTAATGGTTTTCATTTGTGCCTTATATTATGGGGAACGAACGAAAAGAATTGGGAACTCGTATTGGAACTCAGCTGATAAAAGCTAATCCAGCCACAGTCAATAAACACTGCGCAAACGTTTGGGAGTTCCTGAAACCGGTTGTAAAATTAGAGAAGTTCACAATACCTGATTAATCATATGCCTAAAATGAAAACATACACAGACGATTATGCTTGCGTATTTAGGCGTGGCAAAGGTTCCTCACCATCACCTACAATAAACTTTACGGCTTTCATCATTTAAAGAGAATGTAAGTAAATTTTATAAAAGATTAATATGATTATTTTTCTGTGGAATTCCCTTGTTTGAACATCTCTAGTAACCGTACGCTATCAAAGATGGCGCCATAAGTTTCTGTCAAAGTTGCAGTAGAAAATTGCTTTCTCCCAGGTTTTTTCTCTTCTCCGGATTCCCTCAGCATTGCACAGAGGACACTTTTGGTCAAGTTTGAAACATGAACTGGTTGAAAGACAAAGGTTTACCTGTCGAATGATTGTTGTGCTCTCTTAAAGGGTGGTTTATTTTTACTTGGTAGCTGTTCATGTCGTTTGTCTGCACGCTGCGTGAGCATGACATATTGGGTGCATTCCAGCCTAACTTGTTGACACCTTCGAATTGGTTTCGGTGTTTCGTCTTCCAAAAAATTGCATCACAAACTTGTTCCTGTCATGTCCGTTAATCTGAACGAAAGAAAGTTTCTGATTTTAGCCCAGAGAACAACTACACGGTTCAGAAGAATTTGCCCATATTTGAACGATCTGAATTACAAGCATCTTATATGTTATAATCTTGTTTTTAAGGTAGTATTTACTGATAAATTAAACATTAACCTCTCTGCCGAGAATTTAGGTATTTACAGTCGAGAAAGGTTTAATCGAACGAGTATCCGTAATGCATTCTGTGTTATTCTATTCATCTCTACGAAAGTGGAACCTGTGCATTGTCTTGGTTTGCAACGCTTTTTGAAAGAGTCTGCAGTTTGCGCACCATCTCGGTTCGGTATCTTTCCGATCTAGAACACCTTCACTATCAAGTAGGCTTTAGATTGCCTCATACAACATACGCATCGAATAACCTTTGTCATTTTTCTTAGCACCGTTTCATAGGTTTTGCGTTTAAGATGTAGGCCATTGACAAACCGACAACGATTGACGCGATTTAGGTTATTGCGTAAACTCTACTTAATGCCAGCTGATAAATAAACCGTACTTCATTGTGCATGCTTCAAGTGACCTTGGAATCCAGCAACAGACGTATCAATGAAGCACAGCAAGCAAATCACCTGTTAGATTGGCCGTATTATCCAACACTACCATGATATTTGAACCTTCCGGTATCAGTGCTCATCAGTCGGTCAAAAGGAGACATCCCGACTGTCTCTGCTGGTGAAATCAGCTGATGTGCATCTAGATATCCAGTTAGGTGACCCACCGTACACAAGTGGTCCTATGATGACGACTGATAATCCGCCGCGTAGATTGGGAGGCAGGTTATTTTATCGAATTCCCTGGCAAACACGTAGATGAATGGGTATCACGGAGTAGTCGGTCTGGTTAGCGTTGCCGTCAGTCTAAACTGAATTAGACTTTAATATAACATTTGCACTATGCTTATAAATGCTGATTTTGTAGAGATTAGCTTGTAGCATGCTATGTTTTTCACACCTGGATTTGAGTCACAAGTGATTCAATGGATTTGGGACTCTATTTCACTTGAGCCGGTCGAGTCCCTCTCAAATTGCGTAGAGTGAAGAAGCTGACAGACTAGTTTACCCGTAGTTCCATATCAGATATCACGTCCACAAACTGTTCCTGATGATTTGCAAGACCTCAAACATCCGTTGATCGCATTTTCCAAGCTTCAAACACATGACAACAAAAATAATCAGGATAACTGTTCAAATTTTCTATGATTCTCCAAATATAGCGCACCAGTTATCAGATACATATCGTCAAAAATTGCGTAAAAGTAAGGGAACCTACCCACTGAAAAATGTGCACTTTGCCGACCATCCGAATATCTTCTGACTGTTCGTCATCTCTGTTTGCCATCAGGTCATCCAACAGAACGTTTGCACTGACGATCGTGCTCACTTGATCTGAAATTGAAGATAGCTATTTGAAATATTATTCAACAGCGTAAACAAGGAAGTATATCCGGCAGTGCTTTGAAATGGATTGTTATCTAATTCCACATTAATCGAATCCTAAAATCTTCGGTCGACAGTGGGAACAACAGATAAAAAATAACGAAAGTTTTTGCATTTAAAATTGATGCCGTGTTTCTCTGAATAAAATCTATTGTCTTGCAAGCCTGTTACACATTTTTCAGAAGATCGGTATCTATCCAGCAGCGAGGCGCTCATAAAGGCACGTCTTATTACCAGTGTATTTTAGTCTATTCTGATCGCTCACAAAAATTTCAGCAGCGAGACATTCTGCACGGGCGGAAACACCGCATGAGTCAAACAGGGCCATGTGAACGTGCAGAGTCATTAGCGAATATTCAGAATTATATACCTTGAAATTCGTCTGGGAGGACGGTCGCCTAGTCAACAAGCCCTTAAGTTCCAGTAGGCTTTGAACCTAACACGAACTAGAAAGTACTGTTCTGTTGGTCATTATCAATGTTCCTGTATGGCCGTACTTTTGTGGTATGTAAAATAACTGATTCTATGAAGAAGTCGGATGGTATTTCTAACAGGTAATCAATTGTGCTGGAATTCATAATTTTGCATGATTGATTTCTATTTAGCAAGCTAATTGATCAGATTACCAAATTTATTCTTTCGGTGTACAATTTATGAAAGACTATACAAAGGTCTCTGAAGGCAGTTTGTAAAGCACCCTAATTGCATTACTGGATGAATGTAGCAAAATTAATGAATTGTCGGAAAAACCCTTTAATTGGTAATATTGGAGTCTAAAACAATTTTCGTCCGCTGATAATACAGTCGGTCACTGGTGAAACGTAAATTACTGGAGGTGCTAATTCATCTAAATTGTATGTGTATTTATAACCCTGTAATGTTCTTTGCTACTTTTTCAGTACACATTTTGGTTTGATCGATTTCTTTGGTTCCGGAACTGGTTTACAGCAGTCTTAGTGGACTTCTGGCAGAATATCTGAGGAAATCACATCAGTAATAATAATAATATTGCTAATAATGGCCTGATAAGATCGTTTTAATGAGTTATCATCTGACTGAAAATAGTAACGCACAAAAATACATTAAGCAGCTGCGCACGCTGGTTGGTAAAACCGGATGACAGTGCCCTAAACTGGTCAACTAATAACACCTGACAGATTGTTCTGCGTACACCCAGTTGGTCGCAATAGCAGCGGGCAATCCCGTGTGTTTGAGCCATCCGCTATATCAACAAATCGTTATCATGTTCGGCTACTTTTTCATAGGTGCGAAAAATGAAGCCTGCTGCACGTCACGTTCTATTCGATTAGGCAAGTAAGCATAGTGAAATATATCACGAAGGTGAGTGTTTTGATGCCAAGTACATTAGATTTTCACCAAACCCACCATTAAAAATACTCAAACAATAATAAGACATTCACGACCAAGCTGGAATTATTCTTTGAATGGTAGGCCCCCTTTTAGGAGAGTATCACGGTCATCAGACTCGTGGGATAAGTGAAATACTGCACGACTTCCCAGGTTTAATTCTTGCACGTTGCATTGTATCATATCTTAACGGCGTTACATCTGCCATCTCAATAGCTTATACTGATTCAAAGAGGGCGAGCACACAAACTGCCGCATACTGATACACTTACAACACACCATTAGGAAGGAAGAAACGAAAATTGTTTATTTACGTCAAGCTATCTTTCATAAGAGGAAGAGGTTCAAAAAACAATGGTTCCTATGAGAATGTTTTGTATTTCGTTATTTGGGAATGAAATGGGTGATGCCTGCCAAAACCATACCACAAGCAAGTTTGTGGCAACACCCTAAAACTACATTTTTGTCCGATATTTTGCTGGTGAGTATGGTTTGGCTCCACTGGCCCGGGCTCTTTCTCAGGGGTTTACTGAGAATAAATGCCGTGCTGTACAGCCAAGAGGATGAAGCAAGTGACAAGCTATTTTATTGGCCAATACAGCAAGATAATTCCGAACGATGAGTGATGCTTCTGCCATCCAATCCTTCAAGGTCATTCGTCACTTCCCACTCCAAACGGTTGAGACCATCCTTGTGTGGTTACACCAATTTTCTTTATCATACATTTTTTGTTTATTCTCCCTGCGAATTGTGCTCAAATCGGCATAACACAAATTAGTGTTGTATAGGGCTTGTGGACTGTACTTTGACAATTTCGGGGTAATTGGGTCTTATCCGTCAAATTAAAATCTCGAAGAGCGACCTGCCAAGCGCTTTCAGGTCATTCAGGCGACTTATGAATTTTCAGGCATCTGATGTTCAACTTCTTGTTTATTACTAGAAAACTGAACGCATAGCGTCTGCCCATTTGATTAGGACGTACAAAATCATATCCATGTGATGTCGAATTATTTACGATGGTGAGTATCAAAGTTAAGAGTCAGTATTGATATCTTAAGTAATGATCCATTTCTCACTGCTTTACCAATTTTATTAGCTTGAAGGTAACCAGTCGTCCGGCCTTGGAAGTAGGCAGAACGGAATACCGAAAAGTAATTACAGATAACTACATTATTGAAATTACAAAACACTAATCCATCCTGTCATCAAAATTTAAGAGGGGCCGTTTTACCTCGGGTAACATCTAGCATATATTTCTGGCTGTGTGGTAAATGCATTCCAGTCACGTAAGATTGGAATGAGGTTTCAAATACTTGACTTATGGGCCGTTAGGTTGTTGCATAAAATTAGAAATCTGGTCAGCTGAAACCTGGGTGGACCTTAAGAGATAACCATCAGGCAGTGCTGACAATACACATTAAATGGTAAGTATTTTGCATACCACAAAGTTTCGGCTGCAACTGATGGCCACTCTTCAAAGGTGATATGACAAAACTGCCATTCGCAGTTATCGTTGTTCACAGGAAAACCTATCGCAGTTCATGACTATTGCATTGCTTGTGTGTTCCCAATATCATTTGCCGGTGAAAATGTTTGGGTCACAAATGAGCGGGTTGGGCGATATTTCAACCGCAGTTAAGAACATTAACACCCCAGTGGATATTCCACACTTGTGCCCAGATGGCTGCACAGCCTTCTTGGAAAAATGCCATTTTTTACCTTCAGAAAAATTCTTGGCTTGTGGTTCTAAATAGTCTGAATCTAACTAAAGTTAATCACAAAAAGTGAAAAATATATTCTGAAATGAGATGCATGTCTCAGAATTGGGACTGGTCATCCAAACGCACTTGTCTGGGAGAAGCTTGGACAGACGGTTTTACAATCAATGGGGCGTGGCGGACCTGAGCTCGTGTTACTCTGAACATGTCAACTCAAGGAGACGAAACGGAATAAATGATTTTGTCGTCGGCTTCATTGGTTTTTATTCGGGCATGACAGGGCCAAACTTTAGGATGTTTTCATCGACTCATATATGTATATATTATATATATATATATATGTATGAGAGCAACGTAGGCAAAATCTAACTGTTCCCAACTATCGTAAGAAAGCAACAGAACAAAGTCGTGCCTGACAAACTTACATGCAAGTGCTTCTGAAACCCAGAGATCCATCATAGGGTTGATGAATAAACTAATTGAAATGTGTCAATAAATTGTCTTGTAGATTAAGTGAAGCCGACTTACTGATCAGATTTTTGGTTCAATATTAATTCACACACTATGCACACTGTATTCTGTGAATTCGTGCTCTGAGGTTTACGATCAGCAAAGTGAAAATTGTCGTGGGATGCGGTTGAATAACAATCTGCTGTGACTTTCTGCTTAGATGCGAGCTATCGTGCTTTTTAGTAGTGGGCTCAGTCATTTGAAAGATTGAGATTTCCTGCGCGGATATCTCTAGAAACCTTTTTTTTGTATTTGGGCAAATATGTGCACAACACTAGATGTACCCCCAAGAAGTATATATCATTTGATAACAGAAAAAATGTATCGACCATTTGTATTACCAATAGACCTTTGTTTAGCTGTACACTTGGTTCATTTTTAGTAGAATTTTGTAGGTGTAATACTAGGTTTATTTTTTGCGTGGGAACTGTTGAAACGTTTATGAGATTATATTTTTATAGTTTTCAAATCCGTATTATTAAACTCCTCAACGTTTTCATTTGTTAACACACACGAACTAATTATTTCAATATGCACGCTGATATTAACAGAGTATTATACTGGGCAGTAAATTTATTAACTAAAGATTTATGCATCAAAAATGCAGTGAACCGTGAGCACAAAAATAAGATCGAGGAGGAAAACACTTGTATATTTAGTTAACCGCGTTCATTGAGCTTTTGGATTGTTTACTCGTTTATAAATTTCATTGATGCTGATAAACTGTAAATCACTTTCAGTAGAGGTTCGAAGGAACAAAACAGCAGAAAGAAAAACAAGTGGCGTAGTGTATTTTGCCTTCTATAATTCAGCCAAAATTCCGTAAACCCTTGAAGAAAAATGTTACCATTTTATCATACGTTCCACAGAATACTCTCACAAATTTGACAGTTTTCTGACTGGGTATCCAAGCGAGGCACATGGATAATTGATTGGGTTTCTTCTTGCTCATGAACCAATTCTAATTTGCTTTCAACCCTATCAATAGAAAGTTCAAAATACAGAAAGTGGTTTGGGTCACTCATGATTGCTCCCGAGAAGTGTCTTCCGCTACTCGCAAGCGGATTCCAACACTTTGGATTGTAACCAAATAACATCAGGTTAAACGAAGAGCATGGTGTACTGTGTACAAATCGCCAAAGATATACGTAACTGTCTTTTCAGATGAATAAAGTAGAGACACGAGCAGCTAAATTGTGCACCACATTACTAGATATATCCACATTCCAAGTCAAGCAGAAATGCATGTCAAAATTATTTGAACTTGGAATTCATGAGTACATGAACAAAACGGCGAACAGAAATT